CAAAAGAGGGGTAGAACTTCAATGCTGAATTGTTCTCCAATTTCTCCCAACCGCGGGCTAAGGACAGGTTTATAAAGTAGCAAATAAGAAAATCCAAGGAAAACATTCTTAGCGCCACTTCCTTCTAATCCACGAGCACATAGTTGCTAGCAGAGGCCTCTCAATTGCTCTCTCCTGTACTGAGAGAGCAATCCGGAGCAACCCCCGAGATACCGGCTATACTCGCCAACCCCAATTGAAATAAAAGCCCGGTCACTCCTATGACATCTCACAATATTCCCTGCCACATATATCACCCCCCCCCCCTGGAGCCTCCCGGAACTCGGGAAAAGCCATACCGAGAAACACAACAGATGAAACAATATCTAATGGATTAAAAAAAAACGCCACTGAACGAACGCCCACCCCACTTCTTATTCCACCCCCAAAAATGCCCGAGTAAGCACCACTAATTTCCAACAGTTAGGCCTACTACACCAATACGGCGCTCCCTGGCTGAGTAGTCGTATATCACCTCTCAGGATACCGAGGCGAGTGAGAACATAGTGCCAACTGAAGACATCTAAAAACAGATTACTCCCTTCTAGTTTTTTGGCTCCCAAACCGTGGGCCTTCCCCTCCTACGAAATCGCAAGGCAGTCTCCTTCAAACTTTGCTTCCAAATTCTTTACAAATGTTTCAAACGTGGCGGGTTCACTGGGTTGGTTAATTAGAAGCTAGCTGTGGTGATGTGCATTATTCCATGCTGCAGGGATAGCAGTGCGGCATGGGGGCTGTATGGGAAAAAAAATCCTGTCCAAGTTCGCAAAATTAGAGTTAATCATCATACAAGAGTGGGAACAGGTGATTTATAATTGGTGACCCAGGGGATATAAAGATGTTGCCATCGTCACGGGATATCACCCGTTGTTTGGGATCCAGTATGTTAAGCCATAAACGATGAAGGACTGGGGGGAGTATATCTGACCACACACTATACCTGCTTCCGTGTGCGGAGGACACTGGAATGGGCATAAATATGGTCACTAGATCGCCATGCTACTATCTTTAGGAGGGTCTATCAACTCAGTTCAGAATAGTATTTTTTATTTTTTTTCTCTAGGCGAATAACCACCTCCTTTTCTGCAACTACACTGTGACAATTAGCACAGATGTAGTACGGACCTTTTTTAGCATCCAGTTAGCCGATAGTTATCTCAGGACAGTTTCAAGACTGTGTAATTCAGGTCCCAGGGTAATGCCTTGCTGGCAGCCATCTCAGGTTGAGAGCCATATAGAAACGAGTATGTCATAGCTTACGGAAATGGGAATCGAGTGAAGGAGTGCGATCCTGTCCATTAGCGATTCGGCCGTAGCCTGAGGGGCAATCAAGATGTTGTGGTCGTCATAAGATATCATCCACGGCATGGTTTCAAGGGCGCTAACCTTCACAGTATTTAGACCGCCATGTTATTCATGAATTTTGGATCCAAGATATAGACGCTGCACGGCGTTGTGGAGGTGTGGGTGAGGTTAGTGCTGAGGATGGAGATGCATTCCTCGCACCACGGATGAAGTGTGCAGCAGTGGAATGTAAGTAACGGTCCAGATATTGACGCCTTACAAGTTTCATTCATTGAGTAGTGGCGAAATAGGTCATGGCATCTAACATGTGCTTTACCTGTGCCCAATCTCTCACAGAACTGAGTTTTGTACATGATTTCCGGCGGCGTTACAGACTCCAAAAAACCGGGCATCATACCTGCTCTGCCCAGTAGCGTAAGGGAAATTGGAGAGACCTGATAGCAATTCCCCTCTAATCAACCCAAACCCAGCCTCCACTCCCATGACACCAGCCCGGACCCATAGAGGTTTGAGCAACTACCCTCGTCCCACCAAGACTAAATATCAACGTCAACCTCCCAGAATAAAAAGTCCAACTCCTGACTATCTCCCAGATCCACAGTAACAATCCCTCCACCAAACAAAAACCCAACCTACCCAACATATGTCCGATGAGGATCACGTGCCAACCATTGCGATATATCGTCCTGTCGGGTGGTTGGCTGGTTATAATTGACCAGCCGGTCGCGAGTCCACCAATCCACACCTCCTAAATTCTCTGGCTTCTGCTGGCTGGCAGTAGTAGATAAACAAGAGTTATGCCAACCCCATCAGAAGTGATCAGAAATGTTTGAAGGAATGTTTAAGTGTCTGGAGGCCACTCATCTCTACGTCAAATGCGAAATACCAGGTGCCAACCTGTATCGGTGTTGAAACAGAACTCCCTGTCGTCTAAGGATTGAATTGAGAAGTCACACTCCCCCGGTTTATTATGACGTTAGTGAGCAAGATGTGATGGAGGTATATCGAAACCGCCTCTATAAGACTGACGCACGAGTAGACCACCATTACCCACATGATTCACTAGGGGGGGCTGCGCCGCTGTGTTCTGACAGAGTTGGTATATCATACTCGAATGCACCCACTGCACCCCGTAACCAATTCCACAAAATTCTAATGGCAAATTCACCCAAGGGAATTCAGCATCCCAAGAAGCAAGTTGGCCCTCATAACGCCAAGATCTCGAAGCAGCCACCCTTGTAGTATCACTGCATGACGACTGCAGGCTTAAAAATTGAACCTGTCAGAATTGCTGCAGATCTTCCTCATACATGATGCCGAGCCCGCCGGGCACCTTCGCATTCTACTTGACCATCTATCATGCTACGAACTCGTCACTAACCGTCACTCGGAAAATAGGTTCGCCCGAGAAGCCACTAGTAAAGTTTAGTTGTCCAGAAGGTACTATAACGTGTGCGAAATCACTGGAAATCAAAGGGAGAAGGCCTTGGGGCGAAGGGAATAGGTTAAGAACGCAATGGATAAAAATCGGAGAAGAATCCCGCCGTGACAAGGCTGAAGAGGATGACTTCTGGGGTCATAATACTATCCACGAGGCATTTGAGAAGTGAAAAGTGTTGTTCCGAGAGTCCAATGCCTAAGGCCACCAAGGCCAATGTTGGCTTGTATCATACACTGAATAGACCCACACTGCCACATCTATTCTTTAGGGCAATTCGAGTCCCAACAAACCAAACTGCCCTGTTAACACCCGTAGCTACAGGGCGGGACAAAACAAGATCCCCTAGCCAAGTATGATACATATTGGATTACCACTCGTATGCCTGCAACTTACGTATACTGCGAAATAGAAAATACCAGGCCTTAGACCAGTCCACTCATTCCACATTCTTCACTTTAGTGGAACTTCTTCCCACACATCGTCCTCAAATTATTTCGTCTGGGCAACGCTTATCCCTAGCTTTCCGACGGCGCTGAGACTTTGTTATCCAGTATCCCAAAATGCCGGTTGTGGGCATACTGGAGGAAACGGGCTCATCACGCGTAATCACTCGTGCCCCGGCCGGCACCCCAGTACCAAGTTCCCCCCAGTTCAGTCTCTTGCAGACCTCGCATGTCTCCACCCTAGTAAACATACAACACTAGCCTCAGCTAACATCCATTGCTTCTTTGGACCTTGATCTGGGAAACCCTGAGTGAGGAAATTCTGCGGTTCCCTAACAAGTTGAAAATTCTTGGAAAAGGTTAGGTTTGAGATCCGTGGGCCAACAAAATACCCACAAGCTCCCCTAGCTACTAGATCCAGTTAGCCAACAACTTTCCACTTTGGTTTGTAGGCCATTTAAGCGAAAAATTGGTACTCTAAAGAATAATGAGTACCAGGAAAGCTTCGCGGCTTTACCGGTGGTCTGGTGTTTATTTCCCATTGATGAGGTTCGCTGGCGTGGAGATCCTAACGCACGATGAGGCCGACATAAGAGGTGGACGGTGTTTCATACGCCAGCGCGAGAAGAAGGCCAGGTACGGCTTACACGCTGTCCGTGTAGCTAGCAGATGTTTTAAGCTGCGTATATTTTGACTGTATTGAGTTCGTCTCAATCAAACCCCTTCGGATGTTCGCTCCCGGAGTCGGAAGAGCCCACATCTGGTTGGATTCCTTACCCGACAGTGATTTTTTTGAATAAACCCACCACTAGGCACTACCAAAGTAGTCATCCACGGAGGCGCAATAAAATAGTAGACCGCAAATCTCCCGGTCGCGGAACAGAACCAGATCTTTAAACTCGTGGGGCTACCAATATCCCCCGCTATCCCAGATCTACCCCACGAAGTTAAAGATGGAGGGAAATTTATTCCTTGACAAAGGAATTAATTGTGAGGCCATGGTGCCTAGTCATGCAGATTGGGTGGAACATTATTTACGCGTTGTATTACACGAACGGCTTCTTTTTTCTTGACTTCTGCTGTTCCCCTCACTCAATCTGTACGTTAACCCAGGCTTCAAGCATGCGATGATAGTATCGTACCGCCTAGATTATCAGCACAGCTCCATGAAGCGCCTAAACAAAGTGAGACTTCACCCCAAGGAACTCTCCATGCCGCACCACCGGCGACGAGGGATACCTGTACTTGTGCTCGAGTACTGTACTGTACCGTATATTAGGCCTCATACCGGTAACCCCCTCCCCTAACCTGTATGTGTAGCGGAAGACAGATTAAACTTTGGCACTCATACCTAAATCGAATGGAACGATACCAGTCCTATTGTAATCTCCCCGAACTCTCGAAAGAGTGCGATAAGAAATTATAGTGACACCATGCCTTTAAGGGCAATTGTTTCCTATAAGAAGCCACCGATCCAAGCCATGTCCGCCACCAGCTCCGTGTCCGTCCAGAATTTTGCGAGTTAAACCATCAAAGACTGGGTTCAGCACCACATTATGCGCAGATGTGTGGTGATGTGCAGCTTAAACCATTTGAAGACAAACAGCACCCAGCACAGCATCAGGTCGAACTTCTGCAACAATTATTCTTCTCATCTGGTGTCCAGTCTGTAACCCGAAGCATTGTTCCCAGGAGCGGAAGGATCGCCGCAATTCTGCAAGCTCTAAACCTTTTCTCGATTCGGTCCAGCTTCTTTCCTTCCTCTCCCCCAAGCCTTTTTTCCACTCCACTCACACTTTATCGGCGAAACCGTCGATTCGATGCAGGCAAGCCGGGTTGCTTAAACCACTGCGTGTGCTGCTCCCCCACAGCCCACGGGATAACTTTGAAATCTTGTCGCGAGCGTCAAATACGGCGACACAAGCCCCAAAAAGAGCAGCTTGCCCCTCCCTGTCTGGAAAACCCACTCCTGATATTTTTTTCCCCAGTTTCTCGAAATTGCCCAGAATCACACGACTTCTATCCGTGCATTCATTCTCTTTTCTTTCCCACCAACCCCCAGTCTGCCCTGTCGACAGCTCTAGACTGCGATTAATCTCCAAATTCACGTTCTCTTCGCATCTCATTCTAAACTCGTGCGAAACTTTCTGCCGCCACTCCTGTCGCCATCGCCCCGCCTGGCTCCCGTTACCGATCGGTCAAATCCCTTTTTCTTCATAACCACTATCCCGGCTAAATACCGTACTCTAGATCAAAGACGAAGTAGGCCTTTTTGTTAACACCCTCTTGTTTTCGCTTTTTGCTCGCTTTTACTATTTTTCCCCATATACCACCCGACAACCCAGCAAAAGTTAATATCGCGATTTCTTTGCTTGTCCTTTAAGCTATTTTCATTGCGTGGTGGGTTTGCAGAGTCGAAGCGAAAATTCCTGGGCGATTGGACTGGAACCTGTGTTCTGTGTGTTGTTGTAACCACGACAAACAAACCATCTTTTGCAACCGGTACCTCGAGCGAGGTACTTGTTGTACCTTCTCCCTAAATCGTATTCTCGCGACATACCACAGACAATCCACAAATGTCAGCAAAAACGTCTACTCAACCAGCTCAGGATGAGCCAGCTCTTGACGTTCCTGATACCCGAACCCACGACGAGACACCGACATCATTATCCCTGGGCACAACTGAAATCAACCATACTTCGCAAGAGCATCTAGCCCCAGGCCAGCCACCCTTCGCTACCCCTATCACCTCGAATCCATCCCAATCCACCGAAGGGCCAAATGTACGGTCTCCTTCGCCTCCTATGCTTCCCATCGTTGCCCTCGAGCCCACGCTCTCTCCTGTCAACAGCGCTGCCACTAGTTCGCCCGGGTCCACCACGGATGATTCCACACCTCCACCTCCACCCTCAGAAATGAAGCCGCCCTCGTCTTCTCTACCTATAACGGCTTCAAAACCATCCCTTTCGATCACATTGCTCCTCATATCTGGTGTGCGCCATCAATTCGTTATAAACGAGTCCTACCTAGAGTCGCATTCAGTGACGGGTGGAACAGGAAAGGATTCATTAAAAGACCCGTTTGAGATGAGTGTCTGGCAGTTGAAGGAGTGTATTTGGAAGGATTGGCGGGATGGTACGTTTCCCCTGTCCCTTGTGATAGCCCTTCACCATTAGTACCAGAGTTAGTCACTAACCTACCCTAATCCCATACACAGAATGGGACCAGAGACCAGCAAGTGCTCTCTTTGTAAGGCTCATTCACTTTGGACGAATGCTTGATGACAAACAACATTTAAAAGGTACCAATTACTTCCCCTATATTAATTACCTTCATGGTTCTCGAGTTGCTCGAGTATCTGTTTGGAAGATGGGGATTCTCACAACGAGAATAATAGACTGCAAGCTCAGCCACGATTCACCAAATGTTGTTCATATGACTATCCGTCCGGCAGAAACCGGAGATGATGAAATGACCCAGCGTAGTACTAAGGGTGGATTCGGATCAAGGCAAAGAGATGACCAGCGCTCCCCGAGATGCCGATGCGTTATCTTGTGAGGATTTAGTGGAAGCGGGGGATATGAAAAAATTGGGGTCGATATGGTTGCCGCAATTCTCGTTCGATGGGCCGGGTGGCGGGCAACTGCATATGGTGGATGTCAAAATTTATAAACCAACACTGGAACATGTTTCCTAACGATGGCCGGTCTAAACAGTTGCTTCGTTGTGTGCATATATGTGCTTTTTGCTGCTATGCTTTCTTTTTATTCCTTTGCATTCCTTTTATTTCCCGCGTACGGAGTCTGTGTTAACTATCTTTTCTTATTGCCTCAAAATCATGGTAATCTATTCTTTGCCTCGTATCTCAATACTCTTTTCCTTGTGTTTTCCGTGCTATGCGCCTTTCTCAGTGCCTTTCGTCACATCCGTTTTATTATTATTACCAAGTTTGATTTCTGGGGAATAGCTATGGCATTATCAGGAGTTGTAGAGCGACTTGCTTTGCGTCACGTACCGTACGTTTTGTCTCTGGAGTAATCCTAACTCGTGCACTATCCAAATGTGGGGAGATGATACCCAAATCAGAATCGTTCTCTGAGTGACACTGCGTGATCCCTAGAACCTTAAATCTTCGCATAGCCCGAGGAAGTGTTCTGATAGGCCAGCTACGGTCATTAATTGATGATAGACGAGCACAGTGGGATGGGACGGTATCTTTTTTTTCTTCTTTCCTTCCACCCTCACTCCGTATGGGGGGGGGGGGGTATCGATGAAGGGTAAAGGCCCTCAAAACGTGTGGAATCATCACCCCCCTCGGGACGAAGGAGGTGTTCCATGGTTGACCCAGAGCGCCCAAAGTCTAGGTCCAATGTTCGTTTCCCCGGGTTCGATGGGAATACGGTACCGGTACTGGCTATATTCCCAACCTGGCTCAAGCGGTTCCAGGTGTTCGAAGGACACACCAATTTCCTTTCACTCTTGCTGGTTGGGATAAATATAAATTTACGGTAATGCATATCATCTTAAGGTGTACTGGTATCTATTGGTTGCATGCATTTGGAGGTTTGGGTGTTTGGAGCTATGAAGAGGGCATCAGCGGCTGAGTGTTTGCCACAAGAGTGGGTCAGTGGCGTTGCTGAGGCGCAAGGATCATCTGATAATGCAGTACTGTAAGATCAGATAAACAGTGCCCGGTTTCACTGGGAGCAGCAGGACAACACCCCAACCTCCACTGAAAAGGAAAAAAAAAAAAGAGCCCCCAACAGAGCCCCCCAATCACTCTCAACTTACTCGATCCCGCCTGCAAAAATTTAGACCTGGTCCTCTACTCCCCCGAACACAAGTACAAACCTTACGCTGCTTTATCTTTCTTGTCACAGCATTCTTTTACTCTCATCGCCTGTCATTTCACTCCACACAAACATCACGAACCCCAATACCGCCGGTCATCGGTCATGGAATCTCCAGTCCTCCGTCGGTACGAGATCGAGGAACTATTGCTTCTCCGAGATTCACCCTTAGTCCAGAAACCTGCTGGTCTTCCTCCAATTGAAGAATGGATGGGGTGAGCTTTCCCTTATGTTTCTTCGTGTTTGCTGCCTGCTGCAGCGCAGCTTCTGCAGTAAACCTTGAGATGCCCAGGCTGACTTGCCCTATAAGAACCACCCCTACTATTAGGCCACAGACTACACGGTCGCGCGCGGATGGAGACAGCCTCTTAGCCAGCCATGAAGACGGGGCCAAAATGTAAGTGCCCCCTAAAGCATGCTGTCCGCTTGGGCCTAACTTTCCCCAGCGGTATGACGTCGACTCGCCGGCAATCTCTGTTCGAAACTCGTCATCTCTCTCGCCCCTCACGTATGTGTCCTATCTGTCACCACATCTCGAGTTCAAAGCTAAAATATTGGTTTGCTTACAGTTGCTGATGACATTATACTTGGTCCGCCCAAGATGATGTTCGCATCCTCGTCCACTCGAATACCTTCCGGAAAGTTTGACCACGATTCCCACACTACTTCTTTAGCCTCGCCAGTTATTGATGAAGATCGTGAAAGCTCCCGTTTCGAACGGTTTAGAATGGGTGGGGGTATTAGGCTTGGCAAAGAGATGGACAAAGATCGTCCTGAACGCAGTAGCTTGCGCGGGGACCATACTAAACGAGGCTTCGGTAGAGACGATGCTGAAGGTTGGACTAGTGTGTCCCGCCAACCTCGCAAGAGCTTTGGGGCGGAGGACGGTGATCGTTTCCGTGGTGCTGGTGATAGGGGAAAGAGGGAAAATCCATGGGATAAGGACCGTCCGCCCAAATACGACAATTTCGGTAGAGAACGTGAACATCGTCCAAGGGGGAGGAGGGATGAGGCAAGCTGGTTGCTCGAAGATCGTGGTACCGACAGGGGAGGAGACCGCGACCATTACCGTGACCGCGACCACCACCGTTATAACAGCAGTAGCAACAGAAACGAGAAGGACCCCGAATGGATGGATTCAGGTCCAGGCAATGAAGACAAAACCGGCGATAGTAAGACTGTGCATTCAATGGAGGAATTTCAACGTTGGAAGGAGAGGATGAAGGCAAGCAATGCACCAGAAGAAAAGAAGATTAAGGTTCAAGCGCCAGGGGAACTGGTGGGGCAAGACAAATTCCCCAAGGAGCCTAAAGGTGATCAACAGAGTCCGAAGGAAACTAAAGATACTCATTTCGCCATCGAAGGTTAACCCCATTACTGAATTTAAAGAGTGCATATACGCTAACACAGCACAGAGCCGGCAACAGCCCCGGCAGTTGTGGAGAATGGGGTTGACAGGTTCTTTGGTCTTTGGGGTGCTCCGAGCTCTAGCAAGAGCCCCGAACAGGACATCTTGGGAAATGCGCGTCCGGAGACCAAAGCTGCCGTCAAGTCTCGCTTTACTTCTTTCTTCGCCCCTCAAGAGCCTATCTCACCGGACATCCCAGAGCCTCCTGTTGCTACCAAAATTCCTACTCCAGCTAATGAGTCCTCCTCCGAGGACAAGGAAGGTTTCCAGCGTATACTGAAGATCCTGAGCGGTGTCAGCCTTGGAAGTTCAGAACCAGTTTCTGTTCCATCTCCCGGGATGTCCCGCCCACCACAGCCTAGTGTTTCCCCACTAGCCTCAATGATGGCCTCGCATCCACCCCCACCGCACTCTCAACAGACACCCGTTACTTCCCCCCCTCATCGGGACGCTAATGCGGACTTTTTGATGCGTCTCATGCATCAGTCCCATCAGCCGCAACAAAATCAAGCCCAAGGTCCCCCTCCCCCGCCTCCACTGCACACTTCGTATGGCGGTCCGTCTCAGATGCCCCCGCCTCCTCCAATATCAACCAGTCCTCACAACTTTCAAAGAGCAAAGAACAATCCACTTTCACCAGCATTTGATGACCCTGCCATCACCGCTTTTAGGCAGCGTTCCAGCCAGGAGTCCACAAGTCCTATTCTTCCTAGGGGCCCTCCTCTCATAGAACAGCATGGCCCTCCTGGCGGTTGGAATCATCACCATCAGCAGCAGCAGCAACTATCACAACAACAGCAGCAGCCACAACAACCCCCTCCCCAAAATCACCGTCAGGTAGCACCACCACCCGGATTCCCCAGACCCCAACATCAGCAGCAGCATCACCAAGGTCCTCCGCCCCCACCCCCCTTCCTTGGTCCACCCCCTGGTGTTAACGGGCCTCCGCCAATGCCGTTCGCGTTGGGCCCTCCTCCTCTCAGCATGCCTCCAAATTTTGGGCCTCCTCCTCCGTTCTTTGGGATGAACGGGATGAACGGTTTGAACAGCCATCCACCTCCGCCCCCGCCTCCGCAAATGAATGGGCCCCCATCACAAGGCTACCATATTCCATTCCACCACCCCCATGCTGAACCCCATGGGCCCCCCATGGGTATGCATGGACCTCCATTTGGATTTCCCCATGATGGTCTGAAGCACCCTCAGCATCCCCACGGTCCTGGAAACCCAAGGTTCCCCGGTGAGCCACTGCACCGCCAACTTCGTTAGCTTTGCCAACTACTGCTCCCCAGCTGCCGTGCAGTAGTCAGGCTAAAATACTATTCTGCTGCCCACCAACCTACATTTCATACCATCCCGTATGAAAATGCCCACTTTACCTCGGTTTCCCTATCATTATCTCTTTTTCCCTGACCGGTCTCGTTTCTCTCTACACTCGTATCACGCGCATTTCCTTGGTTAATTCCATCGTCTTGTCTTTTTCTTTTCAATCCCCCCACTGTTGATGAGGTCTCACCCGTTTGCTCCATCATGTCTTTAGTGCCATGTAACCATACTTCAGTTCTGATAACGCTCTCCCTTGCTCTTACATTTATTTTTTCTCCCTTTTTTTCTTCTTTCCTTTCCAAGGTCTTTTTCCTCCTTTTTTATTTTTTATCCTCTTACTGGGTTGGTCGTTGTCGGTGCTTGTTTGGCGATTATGTGTCGTTACTACCACTTTTGCTTTGCTTTTTCCTTTTTTTTTTTCTAGCTTGCGACATCCGGTATCTTATTTTGACGGTTTTTGCGGTATGTGTTTGGAAAAAAAATCAAGTTTTTTCTCTTTCTTATTCTTGTTTTGTTGGTTGACTGGTTAGTTGGTCGGTTGGTCGCACTACCGTGGGATTTGTTGGGTCGGGCCGTTCATGGCAGTATTCTGCTGGTAGTGTTGAACCAGCGGGATGGAGATTTGGTCGGTTGGCTTGTGAATGGAGAGATCCCGCTTGAGTGGGGTTGGGCTGGGCGAAGCAGGGAGAAGTTGTGATAACGGTATCAATCATGCGAAATAAATCTTTGCTCAAGAGCTTGATACTTTTGAGATTCCTCGTTGCCTTTCTCTCGTTGGTGGACGGCCATCTCGCCCCGCCATGCGTTTCTGCAATTGTGTCCCCTGGACGGATATCGGCGGGTGGGCGATATTCTATGCACCTGACGAGTAGAGTATATGCGGCACTGTATGATACACATCTGTGGCTGTGGAATGAGGGTATGGTATATAAAGAGACGGGATTTGTTTCTATATTTCTTTCCTCCCTCCTTCACCAATTCCTTGACCCTTGCTCTTTCCTTCTCGAAGGTATGCTCAAGTCGAGCATTCTTCTCTTCCCTCATCTTTTCCCCCCAGCTCGCACTACATGTGACACACCTACACCCCCGAGGAGATAAATACGAGACGCCACAACAACCGATCCAGAAGAAACCCCCCCCCCAAAGGTTTCTAAATCTCTCCAATCCCGCGGATCCCTTCCCTAGATTAAACTTATACTTGTCGCTGTGTATGGCCCACCACCGCTAACTGCGCACTTCACGACAGGTCCCCGCGATATCGGGACTTTCTGTAATGTAATGTGATGGACTACTCGGCCCCCCTCCCCAATGGCCTAGTCTGTAGGGAATTTGATGTAGGCGAGTGAGAATTGGTGAGTTGGGGTATCGATTGTGGGTCAATTGTTCATTGTACCGTACCGTACAGTAAAGTACCGTACAGTATTGTACACCTACTTAACAGAAGTCGTGTACTCGAGTACTCGAATAGAGCGATATTTACTCCCGAGAGGAGTGATTGGACAGGCACCCGAGCACTCACACGGACACCAAAAACCGGAAGGAGAAAAAGAAAAAGAAAAAAGGAGCTAATTCCCATTGCGCAATTCACCGGCTGCCCAATCCGATAAAAAGAATCTCATTTCCATACCAGTATTATCCTACTGCTACTCTTCCGTCTCTTGGTATTTTACATCGAGGATATATAAGTTACACCCAATCCACCCCCCATCCCATTCGATCCTATCCTGTCCGCCCATCTGTCTGTCCATTCATATCCCGCCAACCAATCCCACCCCCATCTTGATCTTGAACGAAGGCACTACACTAATTCAATAACAGCAATGCCTGAATAAAAACATGACGCAATACATTAGTGAAGACCCCCCAACCCCCACTCCCCAATGATTCCTAACAAGCAAAAGGTACAGTTCAGAGCAAAAACAAAGCAATAAACCAAGGAAATAATAGACCAAAAAAAGGGGGGGAGGGGAAAAAGAGCGATATGCAGATATAACCCAAGAACAGCGACAGTAGACGACAGCTTTTGCTTGTTCGTTTTGTTTGCTTATGAGTATTCGGTATGATATTTATCCGTCCCGCATGCAGCATCGATATTCGCACGTTATGGAAATTCATCTCCCCGCCCGTCCCCCATCTTCCCCATCCAATCAAACGGGTAAGGACCTCCCCTCACTAGAATCCCTTCCCCTCCTCCTCCTTCCATCCTCGGGCTCCACACTCCTCCTAAACTTCGACCCGAAGGGGGTCCACCCACTCTTACCCTCCCAATACCCTCTATTGCACGACACCAACGCCCTCCCCAAAGCTCCTTGCCACCCCTCTCCATAATTCCTGCCCGTAAACGGTGCTTCCCCAGGAGTGGCACTGCCCCTAACAACCTCCCTCGCGAACGCCATGACAATGATCACAAAGTAAATCCTGATCAACCATATCACCGAAATGATAAGAATGCTGGTCGAGCTCTCCGGCTGCAGCACCCCAGACGACAGGAATGAAGTTCCCTCGCCGCTACCGATGACCACCGTGTCTTGGCCCGATGCACTCGGGTAGGCGACAACGTCCACTTCCGAAGCGTTGAATTCAGAGGGTGTGAAGCCAGCGGTGTCATCCATCGTCTCACCAGCAGACTTTATCGGGTGGATAGCGGAGTTGTGTTTCGAGGCCAAGACCAAAAACCAGGATATTCCAAAGAGGAGAGTGTAAAGGGCGTTTATGAGAGAATCGGCCAGGTACAGGTATGCAAACGTGATGGCGGCGAGGGGGTTTCGTTGATGGAGTTTCGGGAGAGTATAGATTAACGCTCCGAACATTAAAAGGGAGTAAAAGTACATCGATAGTTGCAGCGTAGATATCTCGGCTCCTGCGCGGGCATCAAGTTAGACAAAGTGTGGGGCTGGAGGGGAAGGGACGAGAGCAAAAGAGAGCATAACGTACCTACAAGCATGGCTATAATACCGTACAAACCGGAGATTTTATTGAAAAGAGTACACACAAGAATGAGCTCGGCTCCATGCTGGAGGTCTAAAAGTCCAAGGAAGTGCTACAAAAAATTAGCATCAACGGGCAAAAAGCGGAGAAAACTCAAACAAACAAACAAACCGTTGGCCGCGGCATCCGCAGAAAGCGGAGTAACAGAACCATCTCTTTAAATTCCAGGGAGGGTGCAGATCTCAAGGTACTGCTCACCGTAGTTTGTTATGAGGGTTTTTGGTAGTGATGGTGGTAGAGGTGACAGTGGTGAGATGGACGCGGGTTGACGACGAGAAGGAGAAAGGAAGGGGAGGGGGACAGGAAAAGCTCGAGCCAAGGCTTACCTACCGGTATTTACTGCATGATCCACTTGTACCGTGTAGTAGCCGTGCGGGTGGACAGGGAGAGATCTGTCGTTCGGGAACTTGAGGCTCTAACCAACTCGAACAACAAAGAGAGAGAGAAATTCATTTTCGTACTCTTGGCCATAGTTTGCATATATCAAATCAAAACGAGAGCGAACAGATACGAAGGCCAGATAAAGGTCGAAGTAGAAATAATCATCCCGGTTAGAGATAGAAGTGTGGAAGTTGGGTCTCTCCTCTTTTTTTTTTTTTTTTTTTTTTAGGGGGGGGAGGATAGGAGATTGTACCGATAATATGCATGTCAGCAGAGCTCCCCAAAATACCTGCCTGGAGGGCACTGTACTGGTACGAGTACAGTGCAGTACTCTCAACAGCTTAAGTAAAGGAAAACTATAATGCAATTCAGGCTCTTTCTCAAGTGGGGAGGGGGTATCGCCATGTACTCTATACTCGTACTGTAGACGAGTATTCCTTCCTTCCATCAATGTGATATCTTTTCCCAACACCACGCAAAGCACAACAACCCCCCCCTTCACACCAGACGCCTGCCACCCTCCCGGATCCACATCAGCCAAATCTGCAGTCTGACGACACCCGAGCCAAAACCCAAGGAACCGGGAATTTCCAGATTCCTTCACAGCGTGACCGCACCCACAAAATACCATCACGAAAAACCGTCAAAAAAAAAAAAAAAAAATGTAAGATATAACAGGAAAGCATTATTACCCGATAATTCCTCTAATTCTATTTTATCCCACCACCAACGCCCCGACATATAAGAATAATTCCTTCCACCTATAAGAAATATCTAAAGATAGAGTGTAAAAATGTAAGGAAAAAATTAAACGAGATATTAATGCCCAGTCCAGTCCATTCCATCTATTTGTTGCACCATCTATTTATCCCTCCGACAAAGGAAACGGCAAGGAGTGTGTGAAAGTTGAGAGAGAAAGGAGAAATGATAGTAAGGAAATATAAACCAAGCGCCCAGTTTACGGCCGCCATGTATGATGATAATAATACCTCACAGGTCCTTGAACACGGCAACAAGGACTCCGTCTCCCTTCTTGAGCATAACCCGACTATAGCATTCACATGGCCCTCGTCATCAGCAACCCTCCTTCCAAAGCATGGATACTGTACACTTTCCTCTGCAGGAAAGGGAAATAGAATGGGGAGGAGTAGGAGGAGGAGGAGGAGGGAGAAGGGAAAAGAACAAACCTGTCCTTAAAAGCGACAGCCCCAACACCCTCCCCGTCGAGCGCACCCCGTGACGCAACGGCTAAGAAAGTCGCGTCATCCTCAGTGGCCTTACCCGCCGCTACCGGTTCCACCACCATCGTCAGCACCTCGCGGGGGGGCGCGGGGGAGAAAAAAGTGTGTATCGGAACGGAAGAACTAACCTCCCAAGCAAATTCCCGTAGAGCTATCGATCAGGAGGGCACCCGTCACACCTTGCGCTTCCATCCTGTGAAAACTGTCAGCCAACACTGGGACGAAGCAAGCAAGATGGAAGGAAAGGGGTATACAAACACACTCTCCAACCATCTGCAAATGGCCGTTGGATCCATTGTTTCAACCTTTCTTCCAAGTGTCGAAATGCCGGTATTAGAATAAATAAATATGAAGCTGTAGGAGCAGTGACAGACGTATGTATGTATGTATGTATGTATGTATGTATGCAGGCAGGCAGGCAGGCAGGTAGGTTGGTAGGTTGGTAGGTTGGTGGTAGGTAGGTAGGTGGGTGGGTATGCAGTCAAGGAGGTGAGAGCGGAAAGGTGTGCGTCTGTCAGTTGAGTTAAAATAGCGAAGGAAATCCAACCAACAGTGAAAGAGAGAGAGAAAATGAAGAGAGAGAAAAAAGAAAGGGAAAGAAGAAAGAAAAGAAAAGAAAAAAGTGAGAGAAAGCCGGGGCTGGACTGAATTAGATTGGAAACGCGGTGTTGGTGAAACAATGATAGGCTTTGGTACGGACCGCACGGGTATGATAGGTACTGTACTTGTATGATATTATGGTAAGAATACCGGTTGGCAGGGTAAGGTTGTATGTAAGGTCTGGGATGGTGGGAGTGACAGGATGGGTTGGACAGACAAGGTCGGTCGCGCTGCAATGGGCTGGGCTGAGTCGTTATATAAAAAATTTTCCGAAGGAGAGAAGAAAGGGAAAATTTTTTTCTTGTCCGCGGGCACCGGCATGAGTATGGGATACCAGCCAGCGGTGGATTGTATTGAGGTATATGTATTGGTACTGTACGAGTACACTTTCCTATTTCCCTTCTCTCTCTGTATGATATGTATAACCTCCATTCCTCTTCGCTAAAGTCAGCGTGGGACAGTGGGTGATGAATGGGGGGGTACAGGTATCATCATACTCGATGATTGTCTTGAGGTGTTTTCTAGCAAGTAATCCTCTTTCCTTGTCCTGTGCCCCCCCCCTCCCATTCTTCCCACAATGCTCACTCGCACTGGGTTATACTTTATGACAATGCGCTCGCACACAGTATCATACGGCATTGTACGAGTACAGTACAGTATCAGTTACTTTGTGCGCGGTACGTACCGGTACTTCCTGTACCACTGACCACAAGGCCAACAACGACAACAATAACAACAGCGCAGAGCTTCCCCTAATCTCTCCTCTTTCCATTAAAATACAAGTATCATAATATCATATCTTCTCCCTGCCTTACCCACTTACACACACACACACATACGTACGTACCATTTAATCCCTTCCGCTCTCCTCTCCCTTCCCTCACCTTCTCCATTTTTCCCTCCTCCTCCTCCTCCCCGCCTCTATCCATCCATCCATCCATTCCAAGAGTAACCTACCCACCCAGCAGCACAATGAGCTGTCTGAAGACTCAATTCTGACAGTCCCCCCCCATTCGCTCGACAACCTATCGTATGACTTTAGACCAGTAGATTGTCCGTATTCTTGTATGCGGACAGTAAATATCAAATTTCCCGGGATGGGGCGCGTGTGTGTGGATAAACCTGTGATGTTGAAGCAGTGGAGGAGGCTTGTGCTTCTTTTTTCTTGTTGCATCCGGGCAAAAGCGCGCGAATTGGAGGTTGTGGGTATGAGGGTTAATTAGGGTACCCGCATTGGCCTAGACCGACGTTTTATGGGGAGGGCGTTGACGTAGTCTATGATAATATTATGATACAACCTCTCCATAAGGGTGAAGGCGCAACAATAAACCCCCCGCGCCTCATCAACACCAACAACACATAGCATAGCACGGTAGAACGCAGCGCAGCGAGAGAAAACCATGCCTCGAGCACTCCCCTGGGCGCTAAACCGCCCCCCCACCTCCGCCTCCTCTTCGTCAAAACCGTCCACCAAACCGCCACCACCGAAAACAAAACCCAAACGCAACCCCTCCACCCCCCCACCCCATCACAATGCTCCCAGGAGAGAGGGCTCCGCCCTTGACGAGGCAATAATCGAATACATGACCCCCCAGGACGACATATACATAATGGTAGAAGACGAACTCTTGACAACAGCTCAACTCTACACACGCTCCCTCCACCGCGCGGAATACAGCCGCTTACAAGCCGCCGCTGCGCTCAAGAATGCGCACCGGATCAAGGATATACACCGACCTGTGGATGGGGTTACAAGAATGAGCCGGGAGGCGATCATGCGTGGCAGGAGGGGGGCGAGGGTTGCTGCGTTAGGACTGGACGGGGGTGGGAGTAGTAGTAGTGACGAGGATGAAGAGGGTTGGGGCAAGGGGGCTTTAGGGAGGTTGATGAGTGGGAGGAGTAGCAGTAGTGGGTATGCCAAGGGGAGGCTGGGGGAGAGGTGGAAGGGGAGAGGAGGGGGAGGGGGAGGGGGAGGGACGAAAGCTGCGGCGGGGTTCACGGATGCNNCGTCCGGCGCCCTTTCCATCATTAGCCAGGATATACCTGTAGAGAAGGAAAAAGAAGGCAGAAATGCCAGCTCTTGCCCCAAAATCAAGCAGGAGCAGGACTCGGATACAGACACACCCTCAGACGACGACCTCGACGCTCCAGTTCACTCCTTCCGCACGCCCTCCATACCGCCCTTATCCTCCATCTCCTCCTTCGCCAACAACCCCAACCAAGCCAAACCAATAAAGCGCCTCCCCTGCGAGCGTCGCGATTCAATTCCCCCCTTCATTTCTGCCTCCTCCACCTCGTTCTCCAGCACTACAACCACTTCTACATATCACACCACTTCAGCGCCACAATCGAGAGCTACTTCGTTTTCGAAAATCATAGACTTGGACGACGACCCGCTATTCAGGCTACCGAAACCGCCAGAGAAGAGTAGTACGTACCGCGGGAAATCGATGGCCGCCCGAAGGAGGGCGGAGGGAGAGAATAGTAGAAGTGGAACAGGAGGTGGGGACTTTGGGAATAAGAGAGAGAAGGAGAAGGAGAGGAGGCCGTTTGATAGTTTGAGGTCTTTTTAAAGAGCGAGCCGGGTTGCACCATGATCGGGTACTGTACTATACTATACTATTATGATACAAGGTCGGGGGGGGGTCTTTGCGTAGTGTATATACGATAGGTTTTTAATCCTTTTCAACAAGGCAAACAACCAGGAAGGTTCGGGGAATCTTTGGAGCACCGTACCGTACTATCAGAATTGTGGATCAGAATTATGGTTATCTGCGCCTTTGCTATATTTTAGAGTGCTCGAGCAGAAGAAATCCTTGAGTATTAATTCCACATCCGTACACCACAAAGCACCATAACCCAACGCCAGTGTTAACATTCCCTCACGAAGCGTCTTTCCGCCAACACGGAACTTGCCGCGCATGCGGGATACACTCGGGAGGTGCAGATATGGTACCGGTACTGTAACTGCACCGTGATTGATTCGGAGCTTTTATTAGCGGGCCGGCGGAATGTGGGGGGGTTTTACTGTAGGTACAAGTACGAGTAAGGTGCGGAAAGGCCCATGCCCTCTCCCACATACCGCATATACGGGGGGGGAGATTCTTGGGGTGGGCGTTTTGTCCGCTGCTTCGGGCGGTGGCAGCCCATCATATGATAGTATCATAATATTATCATAGCTTGTGTGTGAATTATTTGTCCTACTCGAGTAGATCCGCGGAAAGTGTTCAAGGGGGTGAAGACGCACGGGTACTGTAGATGTTCAGGGGTAAGAGTCGTGCTTTTCTTTTTTTTTTGTCTTACAGGAGGGGAGGGCATTTCATCATTTCTCCTTCCGTCGGGGCCAGTCATTCAAGATACTACGGTACGGTATTCGACTGAATGGTCAAAAAGCGCTACACCCTCCACTTCTTTCCTGTCACTCCCACCCGCTTGCAAAATCACAACCTCTCACTCCTCGAGTGACCCGCTATCCACTTGGTTCTTCGCACAACCTCAAACCCGAACCCCGCGCCCCTCCATCCTTCCTTATCTCCACCACACCAATCGATGGCATCTACCGGCCCAGCCACAACCTCTGTGTGTATTGTATTGGTCTGAGTGTCGCATACAGGACCCCTATGGTACGTGCCGAGACCCGATTCCATGCCGGGGGAGCGCAGAGAACTAGATTGGATTACGAAGGATCTACTTGAGGGGGGTGGGGGTGTGGGAGGCGTATATAAAGGCTGTCGCACGGGAAAGCAGCGGATAACCGAGAATATTGAAGAGACCTTTAGGATAGACTTTGATCTTGTTCTTTTGCTCCTGCTTCTGCTGCTGGAGTACGGTAGCGGGGTTGCTACCCCCCCCCACCGTTTCTCGTCCTCCTTCTGGGGAGGGAGAACGCTTTGCTACCTTGAGGATAGACGCACCACCTGCCGGGGTTTCTCATCGACCAGGCATTCTTCATCCACGTCCACCGCACATCTCCCGCTCCGGTGACCTATGGAAGTTCTCTAGGGGTGTGGGTGCCCCGTGTTACTTATCAAAACATGCACGTCCGGTCCCTTTCGGTGATCCGTCGAAATGGGCGCTCGTATCAGGGCAAATCTGCAATCAACAGCCTGGAGTTCCGCTCCGGGTATGCTTTCTTCGGTGATGTGATTACATGATTGGGCTTTGAAGGGCTGAGGGAGGCGCCGGGCCGCTGGTTGGCACACGTGCAGAGCTGAGCGGTGGAGGGGATGTGGTGTATCACGCACAGGAGAGGTGGGAGGCTGGTGAGGAATTGTAACAGGGAGATGGCCAGGGAGTAGGGGATTTGGAGGAGTGGGAGGAGGGTAGAGGTTGTGATGCGCATTGTAGCCATTGCCATTTGAGGGTTACTGAGCGCTGAGGGGAACGCCGCGGGGGGGGATATCATACGGTGGGGCTTAGGAGTGCGCTTGCAAGGGAGAGGGTTTGCTGCCCGCGGGTCCCCGTGGCTGACGCCGCCCACCTGCATGAGCACGCCGGTAATCCCCCCCCCAGGCGTGAAGGCGGGTTGTAGAAGTTCGTCCAAGCTGGCGGGCGGGGTTATATCGAGGAATGCCAAAGTTTAGAGAGTAAGCAAGATCTTAGACTCGAACTAGCAATATTCTGGTGAACTGTGTGATATCTCTTGCGGGAGGAACCAACGGAGCCTCATCCTATCAGTAAAGCATTAAAGTTGTTAATTTAATGGCCACCCAATAAATTCCCCAGACCGCCCCCCTTCCCGACAGCTCACCACCGCACGGGCCGACAACACCCCACCTCCGAGTCCCTGACAGCATCTGCACCCCCCTCCTTCCTTTATCCCGGATATCGCAGCTCTCAAACGCACAACCATTGCCGAAGAAACGTTGGAGACCTGCCGTCAGGAGAAAGGAAATAGCGTAAAGGCGATCCACAGGCTGCAAAAGCAGCTCCGAGTTTCTTCTATGGCCCCCGAGGAACCCGGCAAACAACCCGAACACGAATTCCTCTCCACTGCTCATAACTCCTGGCTCGCGATGACAGTGAAATCAAAGGTGGTGGCGATCGCATCGCCGGGAATCGCTGACCATCGGACACACCCCAGGAGCCAGAAAGTCGCTACTGTAGCGATTGAACCGCCAAAATCCAGATTCTCTCGCCACCGCAAAAAAAAAAACCCGTTCATTCCCGAGTACGCAGCGAAAAACCTCGCTACTTTTCGACTTATTCGATGACATCCGAGTAACAGGGTGAGCAACCGACCGCCCGGGCACGGTATGCGATACTGCCGCCCGGGTAAACCTCATCTGCGCTCTGCTTAATAAATACCGTGCTTATCAAACACTCGAAGGGGGGGAGGGGAGAAGGAGGGGGTTATAGATCTGTACCGTAGTCTTAAAAGTTGGCCAGAGCCCCGGGATATATTGGTAGTTGGATGTATGATACGAGTAAGAGCAGAGCACTCGCAGTCTAAAGTACTCGAGTACTGCATCACATCCCCCCGATCTCGTGACCCGATTTCGTGACCCCGCACATATCGCACATCGTAGATCATCGAGCCAAACCAAAACCAAACAGTCCAGTGCACCCCGAGCAACCCCCTCGGGCATCGTATGGTACGGTGCTCGAACGCCACACCCCACAAAACCCATAAAAATCCATTCCACCAAGCCACAACCCAAACCGCACCAAAACCAAACATCGCCCGCCAAATTTCAAGAAACGCCGGCGAACCAACTCAAAACTTCACCCACCCCGAATTCACCGCCACAACAGACACGCACACACACAGCCACAACCACCCTAAAACATCTCCCCACTCCCGATCCGATCCCCTGATTCCCACCATCACCACACCCTGCCCTGAACCTGAGCACAAACCAAGAAAAAGAAAGGAAAAAAAAAAAAAGAAAAACTACACACTCCAAATCGCCAACCGATACCGGTCATTCAACTCATTCGATTCGATCCGGGTATTTATTAGTTTTCCTTTCTTTTTTTTTGTTTTCTTTTTTTTCTTTTTTTACTTTGTTCCAGCCGCCTGCCTGTTGGGAATCTCGATGGAAGAAGGGGGCATCGCGCATCGCATGCTTGACGGTTAGAGGAGGGCAGGGCGGGCATGACAGGGCGGGGCGGGGCGCCGTCGATGTGATGCGATGTGATGTGATGAGCTTTTTTTTATTTTTTAATATATATATCACGGCGGGGTTGGAAGGGCGAAAAGGAAAGGGAACGGAAAAATGGAAAAGGGAAAAGGGGGAAAAGAGAAAGAGAAAGAGAGAAGAGGGAGAAAGAGAGATGGAGATTAGATGAAGATGAAGCTGAAGTTGAAGAAGAGTGCTTGGTGTCCCTGTGAATGGTATCACATATTCTCACTCGCTCGCTGATAGCTCTATAACCCCCTGTATCATAGCAGAGCAGACAAAAAAGAAAGAAAGAAAGAAAGAATCGTAACTTACGAGTAGGCAATAGAAAGCATGCTCCAGGCCTCCACCCTTCCTTCATTCAACCACTCATCCCAACAGACCGAGCAGACTTCACCGACCTTCCGCCCATCGAATCGATCGGGATCGGTTTTTGCTTTTTTTTTTTTTTGTATTTTTTTCTTTTTCCCACTCATACTTACAGCGGGTTTCGCAAATCATGTGAGGATCAGTAAGGGGGCTGGGCCGAAAAAGGGGCCTCTTTCCTGCTATTGTCTGGAAGTAAGGAAAGGAAGAAAGGCACTGTAGGGAATATCTGTCTTCTCTTCTCTGACGTCTTTCCCTTTTCTCTTCTTCTTTTCTCTCTTCGCGTCTTCACCCTCACGCTCCTCCCACCTTGCTTGCTTGCTTGCTTGATTTTTGGTTGATGGGAGCACTGTACGTCACGGACGGTCGAGTTTGTTTACTTTGATTCCGCTGTACCTTTTCACCTTATAATCTTGCTTTCTTTTTTTCTTGACGTCGAGGGAGAGAAGGAGAGAGGAAGAGAACTGATCCTTGTTCCCGATCCTTTCCCTTTTTTGTTGTTGCTTTATTTCCTGTTCTGAGAGCAAGACAGACGGGCAGATAGTTGCGGTATTCCAAAGCCGTCCTCTACTGCATTACCTACCGTACACCATACAGTAAAAGCAAAAAAAGGAAACCTGCCCGGAGCTCTCTCCCCCTCTTCTGGCTACGTAATCTTTTACCCCATACTTTACACTGCACTATTACCTGTTACCCACTTGCTACTGCTGCTACTGCTGCCACCACTACACCACCACCACACTACACTACACACACCATTACTACCGGCACTACTACTCGAGTACGGTCGACTGCTACGGTACGGTACTGCTCCTCCGGCATACACGTTTTCCATACTTATTATTCATGCCAGCGACGACAACGCCCCCCATACACGTACATAACAGCGACAACATCAACGATGGACAAACTCCCCCTGGAAACCGCCCGCCACATCGTTAGCTACCTCACAAAACGCACAGACGTAGCCTCACTCCGCCTCGTTTCTAGGACCTTTGCGATCCTGGGTGCAGAGCTCCTCTTTCACACCATCTCCTTCCACCCCTCCTACCCAAGCCTCACCCGGCTCTGCAAGATTTCCCAGCGCCCGCATTTGGCCCACAACGTTCGCGAGCTCGTTCTCAACCTGCCACCCATCCGGGACTTGATCTGGGGACCTTTCGTCCGGCATTTGGAGGCCGAGGGCATCGACATCTCCGGCAGCACTCAGAGGATACAGGAGGCGTTTCGGTTGCTCACGTACCATGTCGATCAGTACTCCAAGTTGCAAACTTCTGGGGACTTGGCGAGTATGCTGGGAGAGGCGGTGAGGGGGCTTCCGCGGTTGAGGGGTGTATTGATGAAGGAAAATAACGAACGGGATAGGGATTACTGGCTTAGTCAGAGTAGTCTAACGCTGGGGTGTAACGGGGGGTTTAATTACCGGATTGAGTTGTCGGCGGAATTGCATGGCTATTCCGGTTCGAAGGACCATTATAGGGCTTTCGCCGCACTGTTGGACGCCGTGTATTACGCCGGGTGTAAGTTGGATACCTTTTACGTCGACGCGAAGGTCGACCCAAGGATGTTCTTTGATAATACAGTGAGGTTGGAACGCGCTGGTGCTGTTTTCCAGAACTGCCGAGTGCTCGGGTTGAAGATGGATATTGAGGACTCCATGGTAGAATATCTCATCAAGACCCCGTTATTCAACGTTATCCTCCCCTCGAGCCCGAACTTGCAGAGCCTCACGCTACAATTCGGCATCTCCTGCGCGAGGGAGGCGATCCCGCTATCTACAATCTTCGGCTCAAAACATGTCTGGCCGCGCCTGCAAAAGGTCAGCTTCAGCTTCATTGACATGGAGGATCAGGAATTATATGCCTTTTTGCTACGGCATAAGAACACCCTGCGGGAACTTTCCTTTTCAATGTGCTCCCTGTATGCCGGTAGATGGGACGATGCGATGATGTTTTTGCGCCAGAACCTGGGCTTGGTAGCGCTGAGACTCGATCCCTTGTTCGAGCTCGCGGGCGAATTTGATTATCTATGTGAGAGCGAGCTCAAGATGATGGAGGATTACGTGGTCAATGGTGGAAAGTGTTTGCCACCGAGGGAAGATTAGACAGGAGGATGGTCGTTACATTCGGAACGAGGCAATCCTTAATCATTAGACAAGAGCGAGAGTGGAAGAGTATGTGTTAGGGGGAGTGTTTTGTGACATTTGTACTTTATATTTCCTGATTTGTTTTCTAGGTATCTTCTCTGGCGGTTGCTTGGTTGTTGTCTTGTTTTCCCGTCGTTTTAGTTTCCTCCCCTATTTCCGGGTTCGTGCATCTCTCCTTCACAGGTTGTTTATTTGATTATTTGGGGTTGTATGGTAGGACACCGTTTTTTTGATAGACTAATGGCTGCTATGAATAATGTTAGCAACACTTGTTAGCCATTCCACTTCCCCTCCGGGTGACTTGCCTCTTCTCTTCCCCTTTCATCCACCATCACTCGCCCGGATTCCCCCCCCGGACATCCACCTCAAAAAAATCCGTCTAGTGCGTGGGATAAAATCAACGGAATATCCCCTTCACGGAGCCAGTCTCGTAGCCCCCTCCACGCCTCATATCAAATATCGCAACATTCTTCTCTGTCACCGTCGCCACCATCTTCCCCCTGCCAATAAAGCTCAACTTCATGAGGCCAGGTACAAATCCCATAATCCAGGATTCTGCCTTTTTAAACCCAGCCACCGGAAGATGCACTTTGGTTTGCCAGACTTTCTTGCCTGTCGTGTAAGCCAGCTCGCCGAGGGGCATCGATTGACATTCGCCGCGGGGTGCAAAGTACGGGAGTGGCAGATACAGCGAACCCGGGGGCGAAGCTGAGATCGGGCTGGAAGAGGAAGACAGCCCGTTCGCATCTGAAGTTGCTGGGCTAATATCTGTGTTGTGGCGTCCAAAACAGCCGGGGGCAGGTATTTTCTGGCGTAGATTCTCCATGTCCACCTTCCAAAACCACACCTCTCCATTATCATATCCAGCGCAAATCCACATATTCCACCATTTCAACCCATGCCCGAAGTAGCAATGCTCATGCCATGGGGCAATTGCAATGTGTGTGATTCTTGTGGCTTTTTCCGACATCCGGGGTGGGGGTGCGAGACTATAACGAGCATCTAAAACTTCAACACCCCCAATATCTAACGTTGGACCAGATAGAGAGTATATAATTATACCGTTCTTCGCAGTTGCAAGAACGGTGCAAATTTCATTCCCTAAGGATATGTCCAACCTATGGCACATTTGCCGCACGGGGTCGTCTCCAATCATTGCCATCGCGGTCCGCGAAAATGGCATATTTGACATCTTCAGACTCTTCAACGGTCCCGGGTTCGGCATTATGACTTTGCGGCACAATTTCCCAACCCTCTCGCGTAGCATCGGTGGCTTTGGCTTTGGTATAACATGGCCATGAGGGAGTCGTAATGTTTGGTCGTGAGTGACTTCGGGATGGTGAAACATGGGAGCAGCCTGAGGGAGAGTCACATACGTGGTTGCGTGCAGTTCAGACAAGGCCTGGGCAGCCCTCGCCACTGGACTAAAGCTTCCAAGTAAGAATCGTGGAGCATGCCGCGAAGGGGGGTTCATTGATTCTCGAGGAGCGTTGCAGCTGTGAGAACCTCCGAGGGATCTGAATAAGGCTCGAAGCATCTTTTGCGAAACATTAAGTCCAGAATTGCAGGGGATATTGCATCCAGGAAGCCTGTAGGGACCCGTTCGGTAAGTGATCCCCGGGCCTCTACAAAGTATCTCATAGGGGCTGCCCTCCAGATATGATTCGTCCCCGCTCCTGGTATGTCCAATTTGCAGTGGCCAGTCGAAGGATACGCTCTCCTGGCTATTCAGGTATCTAACTCGTATCTTCATAATCCCTGGATCTGATCCACCTGGCTCTATGTCCAATCCTATTATAGGTTGGTCCGGGCACTTTTTCAACTCCATGGTGAGATACAACTTTCCAGGCTGCTCATCGACACCCCACATTGGAATCAGCCCACTATCCTCATGCCACCCCCCTAACCCTAGTATAGGTGGCCCGGATGGGCGATCGATAGGAGTAATCCCATGAATCCACAAAGTCCGCTGCACCTTTGAAGTGCCTTCGACCGTTCTGGTGACCATTCCCATATACCCCCCCGGATTCTTAGAAAAGTTGAGAAATTCTATCTCACGAGACGAGTACCCCGAGTCGATATGCGTATTCCGGAGAATCGTGGATAGGTTCAGGTCGGTCTTCCTGTAGCAAGCTCTGAACCTACTCCCTCCCCACTGATCGATAGCGAATGCAAAAACCAGCCTTAGGTCCCCAAGCTTCCACCTCTGCAGTTTTGACTCGGAGAATGACCGAATATTACTTGGAAAATTCATAATGCGGAGGAAATACAATATTAGTGGAGAGGAAAGTGACGCTCTGAACCAACGTTTGCACACTAGTCGTGCAGAATCATATTCGCTAGGTGTTAGATGCCAGTAGACCTCTTGTATTATTTCCAGCGGGAGATGCCTTGTTGGGGAGTTTGCTTCGGCGTTTGGCAAAGTATAGCTCTCGCAACTGAGCTGACGAATTGGGCCCCAGTCGCTCATATTGCCAATCTCCCCTTTCAGGGCAAAAGGAGGAAATTCTATCGAAAGGTTTGCTGGGGGGGGGTTGGAGGGAGGAGGGAGGGGTGTAATATGAGAGGATAGGTATTTCGGGGGTAAGCACGTCCCCTATAAGCGGCTCCTGTGGTTGGTTGCGTGTCACAACATCCTGCAAGGTAAACGCTAGCCGCCACGGGAAGAGCTTGAATGTGGTCCTTGCTCTCCTCGAGTCTGAAGATATTGCTTCTTCTATTGTAAGAACCCCTAGAGTCTTTGTCTTGTTGGGTATGATATGATGTCTACTGGTATTGGATTTGAGATACACGATAACCCTCGCCCTACGGTTCGGGGTGGTAAGGCTTGGGCAAATTTCAGTAACATACCGGTACCCAAGTGTTTGTTGGATCACCCCTTTTGTTGCTCATTCTCGAACACAACCTTCCGCAGTCTTCACATTGGATCACTCGCGACTTAGGCAGCAGCCAGGCCACAACCCACCCCCCTTACTACTATCGTATACGGCCGAGAGGTCAAACTCGGTCTGGTACCAACCTCTCGGCACCGCTCCTGCATCCCCCTCAAGGCAACATCTTTAAAGACTGTCCAAAAAACAAACAAACAGGATATTGATAGGCTGCCAGCTAAGCGAGGGACGCAGATGCCTCACACGTGGATATATCTCAAGGCTCCCGATTTGCCATGCCCGGATTTCAGATGATCGACAGCCCTACAAAGTTGCTAGATGCACTGCTCAGTGGGCAGCAGGTGACTCATTTCGGACTTCATGGCGGATTCGGGACCGGTGCCTAAATTTTTTCCGCCTTGAAACTGGATATGAGGGGAGACTCGATTCTCGCTTCAAGTCCTTCATGCGGCGGTAGTCCATGATTGGGATCCTTGGTAATCTATCATGATAGTGTTCTTATGAGCTATGGAGGGGTCTTGGATAAGGGGAAAAGCTCACTGTGAGGCATCATCATTTGTTTTCGATCGCCCTGTTGGCTGGGAGCACTCCCCTCTGATAATTTGACCGGGATATGAGTATCATACTCGGGTACAATGCGACGATATCTGTGCCTAATTGATTTGGAAACGGGATTGGGGTATTCCTTTGTGGAGTGGTGAGGCTTGCGATAGGCAAATTTCAGTCTCAGGCAATACCGGCACTATGTACTAGTCCGAGTACAGTATGGGGTGTAATCCTGAATAATTCCTATCCCTTATACTCGAGTGAGTAAGTAATTCTGAGAGATTACGGTTTCACAACGAGCTGTGGTAAAAACGCATGAATCAAGGGTTAGGGAACGTGGTGCCCACGTTTGCTAATGTTTAGGATTAGATGGGTACCGTAGTATATCTCTCGAAAGCTTGTGATGACCTGCACCATAGCTACTTACAGCCCAGGCTATGGTGGCGCTAGTACTCGAGTAAATGTAGTCCATCTTTACTGTAGGAGCGATGTATGGCATAGAACCCTAGACGATACCTATCCTTGACTCGCTTTTTAAAGGTTAGGGAAAAAATAACTTCAGTTCGAATCCCATTAATGTTAAACCCGTAGCCAATCCGGCCTATTGCTTTCCTCGGGATTCTTGGCCAGATTGGTTTCAAAGTACTCAATCTGCAACTCTTTCTCTCGATTCCGGTAAATTTGCGATACTAGGGAGATTCCGGCTGAGACCAAAGTGTGATTTCGGAAGCCGTATTGCATTAGAAGAGGACAAGCACTTGGGGGCGACAGAGACAGCAAATGGCTGTGCCAGTTTGGTGGCGGCCTACAGTACAGGCAACCGAAATTGGGAAATTGGGTGGATTGGTTATGTGCTGTGGGGTAACATTCAGGTAGGCAATGGGGTTAGCTACGGTAGGTAAGGGTAATGACAAGCCCGAAGAACACCAGTGGTGCAATTGGCCCTCGGAGAGTCCCATGGAGTGCTGTTTTCTTGGAGACCTAGGTTCCGAAAAGCCTTTGTCGGCCCGATCGAAGTGGTGAACTGCCAAGTTATTGTCGTTCGTTCGTGCAAGCGCAGCTTCATTGGACTCCTCAACAGCTGCGCAAAAGTCAGAAACCGGTCCCGGGATGTAGACAGGAAATCGTGGCGGAGCGTAGCAAACTACACGATTGTCCAAGGTTTCAGTCGCAGAGGGAATGGGGGGTTAAAACAAGACTGCTGCCAGCTCCTAAAAAGCCCTTCCTCTACTTAGGAAAAGAGTTGGGTAGAGGGACGAGCTGATTGGGCCGCGATATTTGATGGGAGTGTTGGTGATAAACTTAGAGAGATTTTGATGAGGCAGGAGTGAAAGAGAAGGAAGAGGTATTCCCTCAGGGTAAATTGTGTTGAGGGTGAACCTGGCTGGGCGGCTTCCTGGAAAGGGAGGGTAACCACATCAACTTTACACTTCAGGGAGCTCTATTTCGTCCAGAGATTTGGAGCTGTCTGCAACGAATTGACTTCCGACACTCCACAAACGGATATTTCGAACGAGAATCACACCTACGGTAAAGGAACAAATTATGGCATCCCCAACTTCAACTGTGAATACTGGTACTCCGTCTAGCACGTAATTACCCCCATCCTTTCCTCACATTTTAAGCAATCCCTCAACTAACTAACCCGCCTCATTTCACCTATAGAGTCTACGTACGCTCCCACCGCTCTCTCCCCCTATCCCACGTACCCCGCCGCTGACAGAAACAGATCCGCAACCTAGAAGAATCTGTGAAGATTCCATTACTCAAGCAGTCCCTGACAGCCATCTTCTCTCAATATGGAACCATAATCGACCTCGTCGCGAAGAAGAACCTGAAAGCCAAAGGACAAGCCTTCGTCGTCTTTGACAGTCCCCAAGCGGCTGAGCAGGCTATCAAAGAAGTCCAGGCATTCCCTCTCTTCGATAAACCTATGGTTCTGGCCTTTGCAAAGTCCCGAAGCGATGCGACCGTCAAGCGAGAAGCCGGCGAAGACAGCCAGGAGTTTGAGGCCCACAAGCGCCGGAGGCTTGCAGAGAGGGGTCCGTCCTTGCACCATCCCCTTCTTCCGCTTATTTTAGGATTATGCGAGGCTAATCATTGATGTATGTAAATACAGAACGGAAACAAGCATTGGCAGCTCTGGAATCCCAGCGTCATGCATCCACCACGGCAGCTCCCCAAGTGGATTCTGCGAAGGCTACTAAGAAGTCCGGGGGCCTCAAGTCTACGGCACCTGCGGCAGCTCCACAAATTCCCGACGAGTATCTTCCACCCAACAGTACGTTGTTTTTACAAAACCTACCGGACGAGACGGATTCAGATACCCTCACTTCGCTATTCGGACGGTTCGATGGGTTCAAGGAGGTGCGTATGGTGCCCGGAAGAAAGGGTATTGCGTTTGTGGAGTTTGAGCAGCTGGAAGGCGCCATTGGGGCGAAGGAGGGAATTGGGGGAATGACCTTGGGGGACAAGGTCGTGAAGGTTACGTATCAAAGGCAGTAGTGGTGGTGATGTACTAGTAGTATATGTATCAATGTCCATCCGTTTTAAACAACGTTTTCGTTTTCTAGCTCAATAGAGTCGATACTTTAGACATGGATTATAGGGAAACCTCTAGAGTGTAATCGGCGATTTCCAACACCCCTCCAATAAATTCTCCCTCGTCAAACAACGCCCCCACATATGGCTTCAATCGGTATCCGAACAAATTACACAAAGATTCACCCATCTCCCTCGCGAAAGACCCACGACTCCCCCTCACCGGAAATCCTAAAAGAAAGAAAGAAGTGAATTGATATAAGATAAAAGAAAACCCTTCATTTCCTATTCACTCATTTCACCCTATTATCCTAGAAATATTATCCTCCTCCCCCTCGGTATCCTCGATCGCATCCTGCTGTGCAATATACTTCAATAGCCCCCTCTTACTACTCTCCTGCATCTCGCCAGCAATCAACAACTCATCAAGGATATAATAGGCCTTCTGAAAATTAAATATGATATCCAGCTCGCACACATTTCCATAGTACTTATCCATCTGTTCGACGTAGCGGTGCACGATTTCTAGCGTGATGAGTTCGTTGTCCGAGCTGTCGATCCCCGCAACGAAGAAGAGGGAGGCATAGCGGCGGTATACTACTTTTGTGTCTGGACGTTGTGAGAAGGTAAAGATAGAAGGTGGGATGGGGGAAGAGGGGGGGACCTTTATATTCGAGGAAATTACACATTTTTGTGCGTCGGGATAGGACGAGTTGTATTACGTCTTTTATGGTCTTGGATTTGTCTTTGGAACTGAGGGTTGTGAACCACTTTGCCAGACGCTGGGGAGGGTTAGCTTGTTATTCGGGGTGGATAGAGGTGGAAGGTAATATATCATACCACTTTCCCTTGCCTCGATAGCAGGATCAAGTACCTGAACCCATCACCGGCACCATGAAATCAGTTGTACGTTTACGGTGACAGAGGAGCAACAACACCAACCTGATAGCCATTGTAACCGATAGGTTAGTGCGTAGCGTCAAGGTTTTGAGGTTGAGAAGAAGAAAAAATTTAAAGATTTGAACGATAGGTTGTTTGTGTGGGGAAATTTACAGCTATTTCCCTTGCGGTGTCGTAGCTCCGAAGCAGCTTGACCGGTGGGTTGGTCGGTTGTTACAAGTATCCATATGGAGGGGAGCTAAACTACTTATGGTTAGGCCTAGAAAGGGGGGCTTGGCTGCGAGGGGTTGGCGCACCTGCCAGTTTGTTTGATACAATAAACCTTCTTTGTCTAGCTTTAACGTGATAGGGGAAAGGAATTCCGTATGGGTTGCTGGTCTTTGTGATCGGTTTCCAAACTTGGGGCTCGAGAATGCTCGAGGTATCATACAGTAGCGGCGGAGAGAGAATCTACACCAGTATGTACGAGTACGTATAGTAGATGCAGGGACCACGGAGTCCGGAGATTTGATGGGTGTAACCGAGATTTAGTCGGGATTGGAATCTTGAAGAATTTCGAGTGATGGGGTGTGATCTACAAATCTCCTTGTTCGGAGCCAGACTAGAATACTATTGATTACCGTACTCGAGTATACGGGCGAGGGGGGAAAGAGGTTCTCTCTCTTTTTTTTTTTGCTGTTGAGACATTTGTGGGAGTGAACGAATACTTTGGACATCTAAATTAACCTAGGATGGAGGATGCAATGTGGGGGTGATCGTTAAGGCTCTCTCGGTCGTCCATGTTGACTTCGGTTGTATTCTCCCCCAGTGCATCTTTGAGAGAGCTTTGTAATTCAAGAAGGTAAGCCATTATCTCAATCTGCTTCTTTACTTTCAGATGTGGCTTTATAGACCCTGACAAGCATTTAAGTCTCCCCAAAACCACTCCGCAGGCTTCGCAATCCTCCAGCACCTCGCCGCTCGAGTCATGTCTCACTCCTCGACAATGAAGATCCTCACCGGGGACCCTAACTACTGCAGCATTCCCCACGAGCTCATAATTCCAACCCGAGATGAGCCCCCATGCACAGATGAACCTATATGTATACTCCCATTTCGTTTTCACGAACACTACAAGTTTCTTCATAACGAAATCTGTGGAGGACGGCACTTCTGCGAGTTAGTGGCTAGAAAGAGGGGGTGGGGCCTGGTCTATGTTTTCATGACGATGGTAAATGCCATCTCACTGGGGAATTCTGCATCAGCACTGATGGCAATGCGGTTTTTAAGCTGCTGTTGACCATCCCGAGGCATGGCTGTTATGATACCATCCACCACACAGCCTTTGACGATGGTGATGAGTCTAGGGAGTTGCTGCCGATGCACTTGCCGCGGAGACGGTTATCGGGACGATGACACTAGGGTTTATGATCGACTTGGTTCGGAGGATGAGTCCCTGTGGTGATGCGTGTACTCTTATCAAGACCCCGGCTGTCCTTCTGCCCCCACTGGGGTTAGCATCGTCACTGTTTGGGTCTATGGCCCTGTATTTGATAATGGCTGAGCCTGAGGTTCATATGTGGTGGTTATCTCTTTCGTGGGTGGTGATGATTGCTATGACATTTTCTTCATTTGTATTTTGGGTTCGTACGTATCATCCCCTCTATTTATCTGGTTGTAAAACTCGAACGTGATATGGCGGCGATCTTGAATGGGTATAGATAGTTGGTTGTTAGAGAGCCTGACGGTCAGAAAGCTGAATTATCGTGTAATTTATATTTCCGCACGAGTTAGGAGCAGCCGTAGAACGCATTCTCATATCTGTACGTCTGTTTTTAACAAATGAAAGCTGGCGGCATAGCCCGCCAGATCCTTCGTGAGAAGACGGCATTAGCCAAACACACCCGGTCAATGTTCGACTAAACTTTGCTCGAATTGTCCTTCACAAAAGCCATCCACACCCACGGCCATCCGACTGGCCAAGACCACCAATACTGTTCGAAACATACCCTCCCTATACTCCTACACTACGCAGACGGCATTGTAATCAACCCCATACCGCACCGTAAATCACGGCTGCAAAGTGCAATATCAGAAAGCCGGACCCAACACCACAAAATTCGACATCAGGTAACGGCCTCTCTTTCCATATGAGCTTGTGCAGAATCAAATCTTCTTAAAACGAAAAACGGATTTTCAGATGGCCAACCCGCGGAGGCTAACTGGAGGATGGTTTAAATATGGGGGCTTTGGGCAGCATATGAGAAGCCCCCACTTCACCGGGTGGTATGGTAGAGGATGCGCCAGGAGAAACCGCAACTGCAGTATCATGGTATTCCGAGACTGGTGGTATGCCGAGAGAACAGCTATCTTGGACCACTCACGATGGTGCTCATTCCAGGATTTGGGGGACGGGCAGGAAGTCATTGTTTGATCTACTTGGTGATCCTGGAACAGATTGCGTATCCTCACGTTCCTGCAGCACACATTTGCACCGTGGATCTAAGCGAATATGTGGCTGAGTATGGACTAATGAATCCACTAAGGGAAATACCTCACCGGTCTATGAAATCCAATTATCGGGAGATGAATGAAACTAAGACTAATGGTCCCAATAGCAGCTCAAACGGTGCACCTCTCTTCGCCACTGTTGATAGCAGATGATACCATCGCAGGTGAAACAGGAGGCCTCTTGGCCCTACTGCCCCTAGCCTGCAATGATGGTCCCGTTTGATGGCAGTCGACCACCTTGCTCCACTATTCCCGAATTAGTGGAGCATGCTGCGGGACACGTTCAATGAACATGGGATATGGCAATTGCAGAACAAGACATTTAGGAGAGGAAGAAAGATGTGTTTTGCACTTGACTAACTAAGGGAAACGGCAGGAGTATATAAGAAATCAACCACCACTCCCCACTCCTTCCACTAGTCACTAGACATATCCATCCTCCTCCACACATGTCTCCCTCTCTATTCCATACTCCTAGGCTAACAATGGAAAGACCCTCTCAAAGAACTCTCACTGCTTCCTAGCCTTCACGCATCTGCTACTTCTAGCTTGTTTCCTTCCGATGACTTTCATGTTTTCTAGTGACAAACAACGACGCTGGATAACAATGACCTCTTTCTAATGCTCGTAGCTTCTACCGGACACTTGTACTTTCCAACTACAATAGCCTTCTTCCGATGGCCGTAGGTGATGACCTTCTAATGGCTACGGGTAAGGACGACAGAGAGCGATAATGGAGAATGATAACAGCAAGTATACTAAACAGCTACGGCCTCCAACATTAGTGTGGGAATACAAAAGCAGAAGGAGACATCTGATAGAGAATGGATATGTGTGGTAATAATTGAAGAATCGGATGATGGCTCCATTATGCTTTACATCTGTATTTAGCATAGTACCTGCATGGTTAAACCTTTTGGATACTATTTCCTAGGAGATGGTATCTGGAAGGGTTTACTGCCAAGCCCTAGGTATTCAAAAGATTTTCTCGCCTGCATGCATCGTTGCGTGTGGTGGGCCAGGTAATGGGGATACCCTCTTGTAGCAGTTTTCTTAAGCTCCACTAGCACTGATCAACAGACAAACACAACCTTATACACCTCCAACTTGCAACACAATTGAGTGATTCTTCGCACTACCATCCCAAACCAAACTTCTACCATTACCCCAGGTTTGACAGCGTTCATACGTTTGACACCATGCAGGGCCTCTATGATGAATTTTGGGGAAAACAGCTACAGGTCATTGAAAATCACACATTTTCCATTCCCTACCCAGGACACAACTTCCGTCCAGGATATAAGGTCGATCTTAAAGAGATAGGAGATGGGGCCTTTCCAGATCCGGAATTTAAAAAAGAAAAGGAGGCGAAAGTATTCAAGGTGCTCGAGGTTAGGTCAGCACTTTCTTGCAGGTGGAGGCGACTTCTTGTACGTTAAGAGTATGGGACAATTGAATACCAACTATTGGAGGTCGAGTCGGCCAAATGGTTTAATGTCGACTCCGAGACTGGAGACCCAGTGGAAAACATAAATCTTGATTACGAATTAGGTAGTCAACCAGGTTCCGGTGCGTAGTGTTTACGTTAGTCCTTTTCTGACCCCTTTCTGACAGATATATAGGAAAATCTTTTTTCTTTCTTACCTCCTCATGCGCAGGCTTCTGGCTAGTCAACCAACTGCTTTCCGCGTTAATGACGGCGAGTACTATTTGTTTGATAACAATTCCCGCGGCATAGAGACTGATGTCAATTACTTATTCCACCTCTCCGAGGATCGAAAGCATCGGCTTTGGATCTTAACAGACGAGGCTCTTGGAGGTGCAAGATGGAATAGGAAGACCCACGGTTGGTTTATAGTACTGGCAGTCTCGCCTCACAGGGTAAAAGCTTCACGCCAGTGGGAAAAAGACAGGAATGTTACATCATGCTATATAAGCAACTGGGGATGGAATGAGATTGTCGCCGCTTTCATGTACCAGCTCCTTCTTCCTTCTATGCAAGATATGAGCTGACCAAACTACCCAATAATAGTCTTGCAAGGACCTCGCCCCCTACTGCATGCCAAATTGCAATGCTCTTTACAACCTTCACAACTCTGGGCCCCATTGCCAGGACCTGCTTACAGACAATCTCTATAAGCGATGTCAGTGCCTATAATACAAACTACAAAGCCTATATTGGCAAAGTCAATCATGAAATAAATACATTCATTATGCTGAGGGGTTTCCAAATGATAGAGAATAGTGTACATCAGCATGCTTCGCACAGGGTAGCTATTATGGAACCTAGCCATGATGGGTTGTTTTATGATGCTTGAATTGCTACCAGATAGATTGTCCACAAAGTCTATGAGAAGACACAGATGAAGTCACAGCAGAGGTGTTTCAAACTCTACTATCAGCTTGTCCACCAAGGTCGGCTCTGAACTGTGGCTGGCTGGATTTTCGAGGTACACGCAATGACTGGTTCAGGAATGGTGGATCTTTTGAGGCTGATAAACTTCTGATAGAAGACCACAACACCCCATACCTCAAATTCATGACATCTCGGTCCGAATCTCTCAGTTACTTTACTGATGCCAATGACCTAGCTATAAAGGTTTGAGGAGAGGGCGGTAGGAGTATCGAATAAGACG